CATCAACAACCGCCGAAAAAAGCCAACCAAGAATTTCAACATACTTTCCTTTTATTTTCTGATCTAAGTGGATATATCTGGTATCCTTGTTCTTACGTAACCGTTTTCGCCGAACTCACCTCTTCTTCTTCTTCTTCCTCTTGGGTTAAGTTCGCGAATACAACAAAAGCAAAGAGAAGACAATCGAAAGGCGGTACCGGGGCCATTGTGTAACCATCAAAGAAGCCGAGATCGTGCGCTGTAAGAGCAAACGCGTGCGCCTGCATCTCCATACAGTCCAGCTAGAGAACGGTGCCGACCGTAGACCACGCGCTCACCACAGAAGGAACCCGGTTTGGCACGAGGACAGGTGCCCCCGGGGCGTGATCCTCGGGTTAGGTCCATACTTTTTTTAACAAACACTTTTTGATCAAAATAAAAAAAATGATTGGGGACAAAAAAAAGAAAATTATAGTGATGGTTTTGCCATAAAGAAGAAAGAAAAGATTGTTTGAAGGAATACCACAAGTTAACAACGACAAAACAATAAGGAATCGACCGTTAAACTCGTCTTTCTTGCTACCACAGTAGGAATAGCAACTGTAACGAGATGCATAAATCGAACGTTCCTAGCTGCTATTGCTGGTGAAGAACAATCGATGGATTCTTATTTTTATTTACAGTTCCGCAATTGCACACCACGTCGTTTATTTGAAACAACGTCCGGTCGATAAACTTTATAATTGCAGTATCAATTTTTTTTATTGATTTCCTTTTATTTTGCGAGGAAAAGAAGATATCCATCGAGTGTAACGATTCGAAGCATTTCCTCCGTTCAAACACATTATTTTAATTGCTCCAAGTGAAGGAATTTGCATCTAAATGAACTTTAAATTGAGTGTACTTATTTAATGAATCCGCAAAAAATTTTCTTGAAAATAAACAAATGTCATGGTGACTATTTGCTCTTTACTTAACACAACCCAATTACTACTTTTTATTCTTCATCTTCTTATTCTTCTTCGTCATCATCGTCTTCGTCATTCTAGTCTCGCCTCGGAACGAAGTCGTCGTCGAAGGCAATGACTGTAATTTGATGTGTTTGCAAAGTTTGCAAAAGAGACCTCGATTCTAAAACGTCGGACGACCGATTAAAAGTCAGATCGCGCAGATTACGCTCTAATAATTTGCAATTTTGCACCGTCCCGCGCATAAATCGCTTCCTGTACTACCGTTTAAACGAGCTCACTCGTTAGTCATCGTCTCTTTTTTCCACCTTTTACTCTGTGGGAAACTTTCTTCATCAAACTAATATTTAATCATTCTTTCTTTTTTGTTCATAAATTGTTCAATATGATCTAAGGAGCATGATGAGTACAGACAATTCAAATTTGGCAGTAGCAAAAAAATTACACGAAGGCAAAAAGTCATTTCCTTAACTTTAAATTTGCAATTTTACATTTTTTAATTTTTTTGCTTGTAGAATATGTAAAATATCTGTAACACTGTAATCTTGTAACACGACTAATATACACATTTCAATTTTGGCAACGGAAGAAATACTTCCACTACAACAAGACTCATCTAGACCGAAATTTTGTCTACTCCTCCGCTTCCATATATCTGTACTCTAGATCTTGTCATAGAGTTTATATAGCATTTCCCTCACAAGAATCACAACACATTATTGATCGTGACGATAGTACCGGAGGTGTTGAGATAGAAGTAAGAAATGAAGCTGCAAGAAGCATGGAGAGTAGCAGCGTACCTAAATGATGTAATAAAACCAAAACTAACTTATGTAATAGAAAACCCACCTAAGACATCCAAAATAAAATGAACACTAGAAACTACAAAAACAAAATAGTGCGTAGATTAGCTGCGAAAACATAAAATAGGGGCAAAATGTAAAGAAAACAAGCAATTATGTCTAAGTGTAGAAGGAAAAAGAAAATTTTTTGTTCCTAAAATGTTTAAAATAACCTAAGAAACATGATGAGTACACACAAATCATATTTGGCAGTAACAGAAAAAAATTACATGATGGAAATAAAACTTAAATTTGCAATTTTGATTTTTTTAAATTTTTTTTCTTTTAAAATGCATTTTGGCAACATTTCCATTTTGGAAATGGAAAAATGCTTAATACCTTAACTTAAAAATACGTAATTTTCATTTTTTTTATTTCTAAAATATATAGAAAAACACACAATTCAATTAATTAAAAATAATTTCGAATATACAGGCTGGTTTTAACACAAGTTTTTTATATAAACGTAGGGTCACAACTCTTTTGTTTTCGAGCTATGAGCCGTCAAAGTTGAGCCAAAAATTTACAAGAATTTGAAAATTTATATGTATTTACTACTGATTTTAAGACCTTATTTTCAAACATACCTTAAGCTTCCCTAGCGCCTTCTAAAGGGATGAAATTCACAACCCTTGTGAATTTTTTATAAGAAATTGTTACCACCATGGAGTATTACCATGTGAAGATATGAGTTGTAAGTTCATTCTTTAATGGTACTTTTTTCTCTCTTTAGTTTTCTCCTAAAGTTAACAGTTTTCTCGTAAAAAAATAAAATATGGTACAGTGCGCGGCAAAGCACTTACGACTAAGTGCTGGTGTAAAACTAGAACTCACACAAGACCTAGAACTAGAATCATTCGGGTTTAGCCATCTTGAGAGACGTCCGGCTAAATTCGAATGTTTCTAGTTCTAGGTCTTGTGTTAGTTCTAGTTTTAGTTCAATGAAAATATACAACATAGTGATATCTTATGCTAACTAGCGCCACCTATCACTGTCACTAGAACTAACATTAGACCTAGAACTAGAAACATTCGAATTTAGCCGGACGTCTCTCAAGATGGCTAAACCCGAATGATTCTAGTTCTAGGTCTTGTGTGAGTTCTAGTGACAGTGCTAATGCAAAACTCGAACTAACACTAGACCGAGAACTAGAAATATTCGGATTTAGCCGCCATTCTCACAAGATGGCTAAACCCGAATGATTCTAGTTCTAGATCTTGTGTTAATTCTAGTGATAGTGCTAGTGTAAAACTAGAACTAATACTACACCTAGTACTAGAAAGTATCTTATATTAAGTTAATTATTATTTTATTTAAATGTATAACGATTTACTTCTTGTACTTGTAAGGAGATATCTCTTTGGCTAATGGTGTTTGTTGGACTAATAAGGCTTTAACGTGGTGTGTCACCGACACTTTGGTTCCTATAATTAAGGTTCTTAATTATCTTATCGATGGCACGCTGTCGCATGCTCGAGTGTCGTTAGAGACCTTTTGTTGCTGGTGCTATTATCAAGTTTAGTAATCTTCTTCGTAGTCGCTATTTAAACAGAGTACTTAGAATACCTTGGGTACGGTTTTATTCGTTTGAGTGGTTTGAAAAATATTTTAGAGAACAAGATCAATCTGGTAAATTGGTATCTTACGTAACAACACCTTCCTCATCATTCTCCTAGCCAACGGCTCACAAATAACAGAGTGGCCCCGAAGACAGGCTACTTTGCTGCCATTCAATTAATCATTCCACAAGAAGAGCCTCATCTTCAAGCGCGCACCTTTTCAACTCAAGATAGATGGAGAAGCACGAAACGGTGGTTATCTAAATTGTTTTTTATTATAATTTTTTTTGTGTTTTCAATTAGCATACAAAGAGATGAAAATATTCAAATGATTCCGAGATGTTGATCTTTAAGGTTAAAAAAAGCGAAGCGACCGGCTTTTATTTTAGGTCGTTCTTCAGGAGCGAATCCGCAATGCAACACGTGTAAGAAGAGTTTATGGTCGAACCGCGCCATCAAACTTGATGTATAACATCTGTATTCACGCGCGGTTACTATTTATAACAGTCTTTTAGCATGCACGAGATCTTTCCGTGTAAAAATTCGTTTCTTAATCCATCGTCGACATCGTTAAATTGGGTTCGTTTCTTACTTGGTCGTTAAATTTAAATCTAAATTTACTTACCACTTATTTAAAGAAGTAATCACAAAATCACCGCAAAAAAAATTAATTCACAATCACATCGCGAAATAAGAATCGCGTTTTATTAAAGTTTTTTTTTGTGGGTATTAAGAAGAAAGTTGTGGACAACGACGACGTCCGAGTCGCGAGTGAGCAAACCGTCGGTTCTTGGGCAGTCAAGAACCTGCCTCCCACCAGAAGCAGCAGCAACAGCAACAGAAAAGCGATGGTTCGCACACCGCGAGAAGAATCCATCGAGTTACCCTTTTTTCTATTATAATCGGGGCGAAGGAGGGTCGCGATTTAACCCCTTAAACTAGTTTTATTAAAAAGCTCGCGACTAGTTTTTATTTTTAGCGACTCTTTGTTTTCAACAACGAACAGATGCGAGATGGAAATTTCAACGAACGATGTTGTCAAAGGGTTGAATTTATTTCAACAACTCCAAATCACTTTATGAAGAATTTATAATCGTGTGAACTAAACCTAATTACATTCATCATCGTGATTTCTTTTACAAAAAAAAACAACATAACACATTAAAATTAAATTGACACTTATGTTATAACTTATGTCATAACACTTTTGCTGCAGCTAATATTGGTATTAAGTTGCCGAGGCAGCTATGCTGCTGAGGCAGTAGTGCAAATATTTGAAAATCTGCAATAAACTGTATTACTTAATAAGAACATATAGTATTAGAAGCCGAGGCAGTAGCGCTAATACTTAAAAATCAGATAGCATAGCTTATCTTTTACGATGTATATACTATTTGGCAACAGAAGCAATGGACTGTTATTCAGCGCTAGATGGTTGTATATTTTTATTGAACTAAGAGTAGAACTAACACTAAACCTAGAACTAGAATCATTCGGGTTTAGCCGTACGTCTATTAAGATGGCTAAAGCCGAATGTTTCTAGTTCTAGGTTTAATGTTAGTTCTAGTGGCAGTGCTAAATAGCGCTAGTTAGCACTAGATATCAAAATTTTGCAAAATAGATCATTCGGGTTTAGCTATTTTGAAAAATATTCGTTACCAAAGGGTTGAATTTATTTCAACAACTCCAAATCATTTATAAAGAATTTATAATCATGTGAACTAAATCTAATTACATTCATCATCGTGATTATTTCTTTGACAAAAAACAAGATAGCACATTAAAATTAAACTAACACATAAAGTTCCAATACTTAAATACTTCATCATCGCTAAATCGTACAAAAAATCTTTATTATCTTCTTCTTCTTCGTCCTCATCGATTTCGTTATTATCCTGACAAGAAATTCCAAAGATGTTCGGTTCGTTAATAATTTCACCGCGCGTAAAAAACGCGTTGTGAATCTTGGACATCGTCATAGCTAAGGAATCGCATTCGAAATCGTTGTTTGCCAGATTTATAGTCGGATGTACGTTTCTAGCGTTGGGGAATTCAAAAACAACCAGTTTATTATCGTTTATGAATAAATCCTGGATAACAGTTCCAACGAAAACGCCCGACGTTAAATGAGTAAGCTCATTATGGCTCAAATCCAAATGAAATAAATACGGTAATAAAGAGAATGTTCCGATTTTAATTGATTTTAACGAGTTGTGCGATAAATTTAGCTTTTCTAGCGTTGAGATGTCTTGGAATATACCCAAAGGTAACACGTTTTCTTCATCGTCTGATGATATCAAATTGTAGCTTAAATCGAGCTTTTTTAATCCGTGCATGTTCAAAAATGCGCCGTGCTCGATTTGTTTTAAAGCGTTCGAAGATAAATTCAACTCCAAAGTGCTTGAGTGATTAAAAATTTCTTTTGGAAGTGTTTCGATATTGTTTTCGGAGAGATCCAAAATTCTTAAAAAGGGGAGTTGAGTTCGAAACGTTTCCGCGCTAAAAGCGCCAAACTCAATTTCTTCGATTAAGTTTCCTGATAAAGAGATTTTTCGGAGTTGACGAAAATCATCAAAACTCCCCGATGAAATTTTTGTTATATTACTTTGAGTGATATTTACAGTTACAACCAGTTCGGATTTTAACGGCTTGATGTTTTCGAAGTTATCAAATAAATTGTCGCAATCAATGCTTGATCGGGAATCGATGTAAGTGTGAAGAATACAACCGGGAGTGACTTGATGCAAGAGTTTTAAAAGCGATGTTAAAAGGAGAAGCGTTTTCATTGTTATCTAAGAATTTCAGTTATTATTATAATACAAAAAAAAAATTTAATCTTACTTGGGTAATAACGAAATAAGTCGAGAATGATGTTTACTGAGTGAATGCTGGAATTGGACTGAAACGCAAATTTTTTTCATGGACAATTTAGAACAGCAATTAACTTATTTTTTTGTAAAGTTCACACAATTCATTAAATCTTCTTTACGGTTCATTCACTTAAATTGAAGAATTTTTTTTATTATTTCTATATTTTATTCAACAAATGAGTCTTGTAGCTTTAAGATGATAACCCTTCAAAATAAACAGGCGACGAAATTTAAAAAAGAAATTTAATTAGTTAATAACGTCATCTAGCGATTACGTTGTCAATTTGACAGTTTGACGTTTTTTCCTAAAATCTTTCTAGTTCTAGGTCTAGTGTTAGTTCTAGTTTTAGTTCAATAAAAATATGCAACATAGTGAAAGATGCGTATAAATGATGTGTTTCCAGACTTTTATGCCACCTTGTATAATATCATCAAGATATCATCAGAATTTTAGCGTAACAAAAAACATATAAGAAAACACTTTACTAGTTCATAATATACAGTGTGCTGCAAAATTATGGAATAAATTCAATAAAATCTTTATAATCAATATTTTCTAAAAACACATTTTGAGCCTATTTTCACTTCCCGATAGTCATTTGTTTTTAAGTTATGAATGCGTCATATGAATTTTATTACTCAATATAGAAGGATATTTTTTTCAAAGGGTCCATATGGAAAATTTTGAAAAAAATCACTTTTAAAGTATAAATTTTTATTTTATTTGAAGATGAAGTATTTTTTTTAAAATACTGTTGATGACGACATAACTTAAAAACAAATTACCATTGATTTTGAAAAACCAAAAAGGACTTGTTTCTCCATTTGTGATTTAAATGAAAAATGTTTCAAATAAAAGTTTCCTGGTTAATTATGGCACATATTCTGGCTACATTTTTTGTTTATATTGTTCTTAGTTTCGTTGGTATGGTAATCAACATTGTTAACTTAAACCCATTTAAGACATTTGTTTTTTTTTTTACATATTTTTGACAGATCATATTTCATTCTATTCGATGGATATATCACATCACCAGGTTTTATGGGAAAAAAACGATAAAATTTCAATTTTCTGAAAATATTTAATCAGCAAATTAGAATCAAAGTAGGAACTGAAATGTCGCTTGATAAACAATGAATTGAAATTTTAATGATGTGTGCGTATTGCGACAGAATTTTAAACTGAAACATTTTTCATTTAAATCACAAATGGCGTATTTACTAGCTATATTCCATACTTTTGTTCCACTCTGTATCATTCATTCCTATTATTCCTCTCTGTATCATTAATGACAGATTTAGGCCTAAGAGAAAACATTATAACACCGCTACCTTAGTATATAAATAACTTTTATCGTCAAATACATTTCGTATCATAAATGAGAGGTGTACACCTAGAAGAAGACATTGTAGTACTCCTACCTCGGCCGCAAGCGATTTCGGCTCAAAACTATAACATCACAGCCTTGGTATATAAACTATTATCGTGAAATATATATCATATCATCAATGAAGGATTTAAATCTAAAAGAAGACATTGTAACACTTCTGCCTCGGCCGCAAGCGACCTCGGTTCAAAACTATGATATCGCATTGTATTGGATGACAGTAATTTTAAAATCTTATATAAACACTCCCTTAACATTAAAAGTATGTTACTAATGGTAATTATTTGTGAAATAACTAAAATTTCAAATTGTATAACCGGAAGTTGTTCTTTACACGAAGAAATGGTGGTAAAAACCATTTCAAATCGTTTTTAGACAGAAGGAGATTTACAGTGTGAGATTCTATATATGTTCTTCCTCAAACGCTCGTTCTTGGCACATTTTCGAAATACCGAGCTGGTTTAAGTTATTTTTACGGTCGATCCACACGCCATCGGTCCATTGAACAATTGTGAAAGACGCTAATTAAGTAATTAGCGACGTTTTTCAACGCGAAAACGGACATTTTTTAGCAAACTTTTCTATTTCTTTTTAGGTGAATTCTCCAAATGGGGCCTTTTTGCATTTATTTTTTTATCGAATTCTATTTTTGGATATTACCCAGATGTTTTCGTAATAGAATTTGCCCTTGGGTAAATAAAAAAAAATAATAAACGGAAACATCAATTAAAACTGAATTAGCTTAGCGGGTTACATAAAAAAAATTTATTTGTGAATTTTCTAATTAAATTGAGGTCGAAAAAAAAACAACATTCTTTCTCAATGGGTAATAGAAGAGTACGAGTTAATGTTGATGATGGTTGGTAGCTCGATTTTCCGCATTCACGACTCTCGGAGACAGAAGTAGCAATACCGTACGTCAACGCCGCGGAGAGAATAAAGAAGGGCACGCTCTCTGTTGTCGTATAGATTCAAAAAAAAACTGCTTCGGAGGAGTAGAAACTGAAACGGTTGCTGCAGTGTTCATCGTTATACGAGCCTGGGCGATATCGATCATTTTTTGTTCGACGGGTCTCCGTTTCCAGCCTCTCTGGATATTCACGACCGATCGGTGGTTTATCTGCTCGACGGCATTGTAAAGACCTCGCTGCTTTGCTCCCGCTTCCAACAACCTAAGAAAAACTTTACGAGTTTAAGCTCACAAAAAAATGTAGGAAGAGATGTTTTTTTGAAATTTAATTTTTTAAACATTTTATAGAACAATCTCATGCAGACAAACAATTAATCGCCCTACAAGAGAAGAGGTTGTCTTAAAAGAGTAAGAAGGACCACAACTCGCACTAACAACAACAACAACCGGTCCCATGAGTAGAGAAGAGTTGGAGTTCGCATGAGCAGGACCGATATTTACTGCCCGCGGCCCGTATTAATAGTTCGTTGCGAAATTTATAGATAGTGTACCGATAAGCGCGCTTATAAATCAGATTGTTATCATTTATTGCGCCCGGTGCGTCGTTCAACATTCGCCCATCGTCTCTCTCTCTCTCTCTTTCTATGCGGCTCTTACAAGAAAACGTACACAGAATATCTCCGGGTAAGCTTAGCTTGCGTGCTTGTGCTCCTCGATTCTCGACTTCGTTCCTTTACCCCGTAAATCGCAAATAGAAACCGACAACGAAGGCCCCACACTAACAATCTTTCCAATCCTTCCAATCTTTCCAAAAACCAAAATTTTCTTGGTTGTCATTTTTTAAAACATTAAAAAGTATTGAAAGAGAAACTATAAACGTCGGCGCCGCTTGCGTAAGTAACAAGTTAAGTGAAGACGATAAAAAGTGTTAAAGAACTCGAACTCTCCGGAACTAAGAAGAAGAAGATGGTAAGAAATATAAAGAAGAAAAAGAAAATCTCGGGACACGTGCGCCCGGTTCTTTAAAGATTTTTCTTTGCCGCGTAACAGGAGGAGATCTTTTTACGGTTCCCCAAGGAGCCGTTCCCGTATCGACTACGAGGTCTTAACGGGGCCCCCGGTAAGGATTTAATTGATGTAATTATCCTTTTTTTCTTCGTTTTCCTTAGGTTACTTTACGTGTAATACGATCCAATACACGTCGGTGATGTAGCCACCGAAGACTCAAAATAAAATCTCCTAAGATTTATTAATAAAAAAGAATAAAAAAATGGTTTGGCCTCTTTATTTTGTGGTCAACGACACTTAGAGAGCAACGACAACTGCGACGACGACGACGACCACGAGAGTGTGTATAATAAATATATGAAAGGGGGTCCTGGACATTTGTTTATGTGGAGCAAGTTAAGGCGCGCTCTCTGTCGCCGTCGCTGCAGAATTAATTTATTCAACGTATGGAGGGAAAAAACACGTCTAACGCGGGCTTATTACGCTGTCACTTATAAATTGGTCGCATTAAAGTTATTCAGATCGATCTGCGATAACGCGATGACTTTGCCCCGCTTATAAGGAAGAACGAGAAGAAGTAGAAGAAGAAGTGGAGATCATCGATCGACAGAAGCGGAGGACTTTTCTATTTCTTCTATGTTTATAATATCTAATCGAGCAGCACAACCTAAAAATATCAAATTTAATTTTACTTATTTTGAAGATAACATCACCACATGTGTAACCGATCCATCAAAATGTAGGAAGTTGATTGTACTACAATCATCTACAATAGTTTCGTGGTGAAATATAACCTAAGGCTATGCTTCGTCGTTCTTGTCGAACAACGTGATTTTGAAAGCACATCTTGGGATATTTATGATGATGCAGGAGAAAACGGGATGTTTAAAAGGAAATAATCGTTTATATCAGTGATTCCTAAACTGTGTATAGGCTGGCCCAAATTCGTTGTCCGCATAGATTATCTTCGAAACTAAAAGAGATACAAAAAAAGTAACTTACATGTTATGATCTCGTCTTTCGAAACGACAAACGTGAATATCTCACTTATTACCAAAGATGGAGTATTATAATTAAAACATTGTACGAGGAATTTATTTTTTTCTGCTATGTAGTTTGTTGGGTATATTTCTTATAGTTATTGAATAATTAACAAAAATTCTTTTTGTTCCTTCTAAAACCATGGCGATAACCACACTATGATGTAAACTAATGTTCTTAAGTCATTACATCTTTGAGTAGTAGGCTTAGGTCGATGTCAAATTGTTTCAAAATACGAAACGTCAAGTGTAACAACAAACTGAATCAAACATTCTTTTCTGGGATGATTGACAGCCGTAAACAAAACTAACCTGATCCAATCATTTTATCCTGGATGATTGACAGGCGGAAACAAAACTGACCTACCCTAACATCCCTTAACGCTATAATTGGGGTTTCAAAAGAAAACTGACCTATCCTCCTAACATTCGTTCGTTATCGTCAGTTACATATCATATAATTAATGATGAATTTTGATCTAAAAGAAGACATTGTTACGCTTCTGACTCGGCCGCAAGCGACCTCGGCTCAAAGTTATAACCCCTCGGTATATATATATATAACTATTATCATTAAATATATATCATGTCATGGTGTAGTCATGATGCACTTTTCACCAGTTTGTGTTTCTTCATTAAAAATAGTATCAAAAAAGTTTAAGAACCACTGGTTTATAACAATACATAATAACG